GGAGGTGGCTCTCCACACGTCCGTTCTCCTGTTGTGAGCAGGACGTCTTCCCCTAGTAAGGAGTCATGGAGGTGGCTCTCCACACATCTGTTCTCCTGTTGTGAGAAGGGACGTCTTCCCATAGTAAGCATTGTCTGATTTTAACACATACATCTTTGCCCCACCTTTGATGTGGTATCTGACATGAGATTCAATTTTGCTAATGAGCTGGAGAGAATCTTGTAGATGTTGGAGGTAGAAGCAAATGGTTCCAGGCCATCTGAAGCCTGTTGGTTAGACCAACACGCCGTGTTTATATGGAGCTATTTCAGTCTGAGTCAGAACTTTCAGTTGCCCCTGATCAGTTTAAGCTGAAACTTCAGCGCTCAGTGAAGCCTTACTTTGTACCACGTACAGACTGCTGAGTATCTTTATAGCACTCAGTGTTTGCATGAAGTTTGGGCAGACTGAGCAGAGTGACTAATTGATCTCATCTTCACTTGTAGGTTGGACTCAGATAAGCATTTCATTTCACATGCGGTCCAGCATTACCTGCTGTTGGCTCTCATTCAACAACAAGAATGATAACACTGTTTGGGAAATAAGATTCCTATTGGATCCAATCAGGAACAAGTTTTGAGCCATTCATACCTTAATAGTTTCCCCCCAGTCAAATACCTTTTATGGAAAAGCACATAGCAGTGATCTCACTTATGTGTTTAAGAATTTTGTTTCAAGTTTTGTCTGAGTCCCTTATAACTGTGTGCTCTCATGTACAAATTACTTATCCACTCTAAACTTCAACTTTCTTATATGTGTGGGGAGTGAAGGGGTTAACAAGTGGCAGGTCATTCCAGGAAAAGGGAGCAGGGTGCAGTGAGGACAGCCTGACACCCGCCATGCTCAGCCCGGCACCAGTGAGCCCCAGTATCAGGCCTGTCAGAATTGCTGCCCTTGCTTTTGTTAGACCTGGAGACAGAACACCAGCAAAGTCTGCGGGGCTGTCTGTGAGTGGTTTCAGGATGGGGCAGCCTGGGGGGGTGGAGGCCAGACAACCAGGGCATGTTAGAGGTGCCTGCTACACTATCTTAAGAATACCCCACTGTGGCCATCACTGGGTGGGAGAACTATTGGTTTTAAACAGAGAAGTCCACTTTAGCAAGTGGACTTTAAACAGCAAGTCCACTTTAGCAGTAATGTACCTGATACACTGGAGGATCAAGACAAAAGAAAGTGTTGCTATGATCTGGGAAAGGAAGATGGTGCTGAATTAGGGCAGTGGTAATGCTAAGAGAGGCAGGCGGGTGGCTTCAGGCATGTGAAGACTGAGAATCAGCTGGACTGTGAGGGAGCAGTTAGACAGAGGTCAGATGGAGGAGGACTCAGCGGTGAGTTCAGGCTTGTGGCTTGGCTGGTATTGTTATATACTGAGTTAGGAAACATGAGTTTTTCTTTGCCTTTTTTTTTTTTTTTTTCAGTTTTTGGCTGAGGCTGGGTTTGAACCCATCACCTCCAGCATAAGGGGCTAGTGCCCTACTCCTTTGAACCACAGGCACCACCCCATTTTCTTTGTGGTTTTTTTTTGGTAGAGAAAGGTGCAGATGAGGGGGAATGAAGACACGGATGGAAAAACTTAAAAGTTAATGAAATCACCTGAATTAGTGCTTAATCATCTAACTTCATGAAACATCACCATGAAAAATGTCCAGCTTTGCTACTTAGTTGTTGCGTCAACTTGGGGAGGTCACCGGCCTCTCTAGTCTATTGTTTCCTCATCTCTAAGATGTGGATAGTAATAGTAACATCAGTCTGTTCCTGTCCCCAGTACAGAGTATATTCCACAGCCGCCTTCTAGCAAGGCACTGGGAACACCTCAATGTTCTTGCCTGGAGGAATTTATGCAGCCAAGGTTGGCAGCCACTCTGACAAACAGTTATGACACAGCATTTGTTGTAATAGACGCGTCCAAGTGTTAATGAGACTGCAGAGAAAAAGTATTGAGGGTGGGGATAGGATCAAGGTGGTCATCACAGATTTTAAAGGAAAAGCAAGAATTTGCCCAGTCAGCACAGCCAGTTGACAAAGTTGCGGTGAGGTCTATTTTGAAAGGGAAGTATTTAAAACATAGCAAAGTACTGTGAAAATCTGAGTAAGGGCACTGATTTCTTGAGTGAGTGTAGACTGTTCTAGCAGTATGCCTGTTTCCTCATTTCACTTTATGTTCTCTTTCTTTCAGTGTTCCTCTGAACAGCAGGGAGAATATCACCGATCCCACCTCACCCCTGAGAACCAGATTTGTGTACCATTTGTCTGACCTGTAAGAGATTTTTCCTCATACTAATGTAGATGTAGAAGTTAATAACTTTTAATTAAATTTGTTGGTAAGAAGGTTTTGGAAAAGATGGTGGGGTATAAACATCTACACATATTATCTGAACTTTTGACTATATTAATTCCTAGGTTAATTATTAGGCATTACAAATTCGTAAAACTTTGTCCCAGATAAAAATTAGCTAGAAGTTTATTTGAAATAAATTATTGTCATTCATAGAAGAGCCAATTTATCTTAGTAGTTCATGAGGGGATTTCGTCTAATAAACATGTGGGTGTTTCCCTGGAAATAACAAAGGCCGATATCACTTTTTATTTTCCCTTCTTGTCACTAAAATAACTTGTTTAAACAAGCATACAGTTGGGAATAAACCTACCACAGTGGAAGCTGCTGTGTGGTGTACAAAGCAGTCATATCGTATCGTTAATTATGTTGCTTACTTTCAACTAGTTTTCATATAGTAAAGGTTGAAAATCTCAAACCGCTCTGTATCGCAGAGCTGCCTAGGTCTGGACGGGATCTTCCTTAGCTCTGCCTCACGTCGGGGCCGCGAGAACTGCCCTACTGACCTGATAGTGATGTCCAGGCACTCAGATTCCCGCACCGCATTTGATGGGGATTCTCTAATACGTATGTTTGTTTTTCAGCTGTAAAAAATGTGATCCTACAGAAGTGGAGTTGGAAAACCAGATATTTACGGCCTCCCAGAGCAATCTCTGCGAGGAAGACAGCGAGACAGACACCTGCTACACTTACGACAGGAACAAGTGCTACACGGCCGTGCTTCCGCTCACGTACGGCGGCGTGACCCGGATGGTGCAGACGGCCTTGACCCCCGACTCCTGCTACCCCGACTGACGAGGGTCGGCCGGCCGCGGCTCGCTCGCTCTCTCTCGCTCTCCATTTCAATCCAGAAGTTAACATGTTTACTACCAATGAATTTGAATCCAGGAGTTTTGGGGGTGATGTAAAACTGACTTTCTCCTCTAAACAATTTAAATAGTAACACTGTTATCTTTATTAGGCAACTACTTGTCAGCTGCGCATGTTTGCAAACAAGGATTACAATCTGTCAGTTATCACGGTTGCCCCACGGGTCTGCTCCCTAAAGAGCACGATTTATAGCATCAAACAAACACACACACAATGGAAGAAAATAAAACTCAAAGAAAAGAAATCAGGAGGCATAATTAAATGTTACTCTTTTATTTTGGAGAGCCAGAGCTTTTGCATTTTCTGTACTTTTCTCTTTTAAAAATGTTTCACTGTGTAGAGAAAATATATATGTAAGCATATTTCAATTGTATGTCTTCATTGGAAAAATAATGAAAATGGGTTTGGGAACTATTTATAAAAATAATTAAAAATTAAATCTATAATATACATGAAACCAATTAGCTGAATAATTAAATGAGTAACTGAAAAACATTTTGACATAACAGACTTGGAAGCAGAGGACACAGATTTTCCTTTTTATTGGTAATCAGGGTAGGGTAAGAAATTCCCATTGGAAACCATCTATGTTGTAACCGAATCTCATGAAATATGTACCCTTCAATATATATTCTCCAGCACAGTTTGAACAATTAAATAGATTCATAAGCATATACCTGTGTGAAGTAATTCTTTGGGAAAGAATTTGCTCATGTTAACTTTTTTGTAAGTTAAATACAACTTGTTATTGAACAGTTTGTAAGTATGATGTAATGATGCATTAATCATTGAAGTTATACATGTACATATTTCAGGTGACTTAGCCATTTTACACCTACATTAGATAAAAGGGCAAAATTTCTCCCAATAAAGACAGTATCATGTCGCCCAAACTTCTTTATGGCAGGAAGCCTATATATATCTATAGGCCTTGTGGGAGGTAAATGCTGACCCTGGATTTAAAATAGAGGGAAGATGATTAGTAGAAGTTGGTTTTTTGAAAAGGCATTTTTCTGTTTCCTTTTAAAAAAAAAACATTTCAATCATCATTTTCAGTAACTTCCAGGGATTATTCAGGGCTTCTTTAGGGATATGGGAGGATACTCGGGCCCCTCAGTGGGAACCATAGTTTTAACGTACTAAAGACAATTCATTCTTGACTGATCTTCAGCCTAGTCAGCAGTTCTCAACCTGTGGGTCGCAACCCACAGGAACTTTATTAAAGGGCCGCAGCATTAGGAAGGTTGAGAACCACTGACTTAGAGCCTGTTTTTAGCCAACCCTTTGACATCAATTAATAAAGCACACGAACAGGACTGTTCTATGGAGATCAAGTTATTCTGAATCCCCATCCCCATCACTGCTCAGTCCCTAGAACTCTGCTTAATTGTCATCTTGTCTATGAGGCCTGCCCTGACTACTTTTAAAGATTTTCAAAACCTATTTTTTTAATTTAATTTTTTTTTTGGGGGGGGACAGAGTCTTACTCCATCCCCTGGGTAGAGTGCTGTGACATCATGATAGCTTACAGCCACCTCAGACTCCTGGGCTCAAGCAATCCTCCTGCCTCAGCCTTCCAAGTAGGTGGGACTATAGGTGCCTGCCATGATGCCTGGCTAGTTTTTCTATTTTTAGTAGAGACAGGGTCTTGCTCTTGCTCAAGCTGGTCTTGAAATCCTGAGCTCAGGGACCCAGACACCTCGGCCTCCCAGAATGCTGGGCTTACAGGCCTGAGCCTCTGTACCCAGCCTCAAAACCTATTTCTGTATCTTAGTGTACATCTCCCAGGACTTACCAGTCTCCAGCAGACTACATAGTTGTTTACCATGTTCACGCCTGTGTCCCTCCCTGACCCCTGACAGGGTGATCTACACAAGGGCAGACATTTTTATTCTGCTCTTGATGTGTCTTCAGCACACAGAGCAGAGTCTGCATATGGAGATGGTCAGGGAACTGTGTGAAGGAGCTAGAGTGCTGCTCAGGGCATGAGACAAGACATGCATAAGAAACACACATATGCACACACATGCACATACGCGTATGTGCTCACATGCATACAAACACTACACATGTATGCACACACACATGCACACACGTGCACACATGCATGCACACATGCACACATACATGCATGCACACATACAAGCACATATACACAATGCACAGACATGCACAACACATGCACACATACATACATGGACACACATGCACACATAAATACACATATGAAGAATTACAATTGTTTGGCAGAATTAGCTTCCAAAGTGTTAGAATTTATGGGAGACCCTCTCCCTTCTCCCATTTTTGCCGTAGTTCCTCTGTGTACCCAATAGGAAAAGTTTTTGTTACCACGTCACACATTCTTGTATAGAAGACTCCTATTCTGGAATCATTACCTGACTAAATCTGTCTGGAAGAAGACTTAAAATTTATGGTCTTGGAGGCCTTTCTTTTTTCTGAAGTTCAGCTACATTCTGACATGACCTTATTAATAACAATTTAGCACTTTTTATGTGCTAGGGCCAGTCCAAATGCTTTCTAAATATTAACTCATTCAACAAAAATCTGAGTAGCTGGTAACTCTTACATGACAGTTACAGAAGAAAGAGAATCGCCTCTCTAAGTTTTCTTCACACATTTGCTCACATTTGGGGGGCATGGAGCACACTGAGGGATCAGTGTGGACATGGTGGCCGCGGCAAGAGCCTCTTGGTTCTCTATGCACGGAGCATAACTGCCTCTGGCTCTGGGACCCTCACTGTGCTGTGCAAGGTCACAATTCCTCTGGGCTGCTCCACCAGTGGTTATAGAACATGGCAGAGATGCAGAGACAGGCCAGTTTCTGGAAGGCTGACCTGCTGGGCACTGACTTGGGGACTTCCTGTTACTTTGCTGAAGATTTCTTAGCACCACCAGATATGACCTACTCAGCTTCCCTTCCTAGCCCTTTCCTGCACGTGGGTCAGACTTGCATCAGTCAGATGGTTCTCTCAGCCTTCTTGACTTCCTGCCCATTTTCCCTCACAGGGATTTTCCCAGTAAATCTTTTGGACCTGTGATCTCATCTTGTGCTTCTACAGTGCTCCAATTAACACAATAGCCAGCTATGATGCATGTGATTCAGTGATGATAGCAACGATACTGAGTGTTCTTCACATGCCAAATAGTTAATTTATGTCATCTCATTACATCCTTACAATAACTTTTTGGGTATTTAATACGGTATTTAATATCATACGTGAGATAAGCAGTTCAGTGGATAATTAGCAATTAGAGTGGTTCACTTATTTAGTAAGGGACAGTGGAAACTCTGAGTCACTCTGTCATATCCTTAACAGATATCCGTTGAGTCTCTTAGACAATTACTATGTCCACCATAATATTTTCTTACAGCTTGTGTGGCATTTTGAAGTTAATGTGAACAATTCATTGACTTGTCAAAAGTCTATTAGTTATAATTTTTGCACTTTCTGTCCTTCCTTTTAAATTTCAATTAAATTGATGACATTTTAAAAAGGCAGATATAAACAGGTACCCTTGGTGAGAAATGAGAAACATTTTTCTTCTGCATAGTTCTTGACAAGATGGCCATCTGCCCAGGTGAGCACACTCAGTGCCAGCCAGATAGAGATTACCTCGATTAGCAATGAGAGTAATGCTTCTTTGCTCCAGGCTCTTAGAGACCACGAGACCCAAGCTGGCAGTTGATTTTCACTTTAAACTCTAGTCATCTCTAGTGGTTTTATGTGACTTGATATTCGAATGGAACCATATTTCCACTTCTGCAAATCTCAAGTACCCAGATGCATGTGACTCCCCAAGCTGATGAGCACACACCCCTCAGCTAGGAGCAGGTTCTGGTAATTACCCTGCAGTGACTTTCCTGACCTTGGCTTTGGGGAAGCAGTGCTGTGAATACATTGATAGTCTAGGTCAGAACACAGTTAATTCAATCCAAGACTGTTTATCTGAAAAATGCAAGTAAAAATAACTATGGTGGATTTTTATAAAGATAAGGATTCATGTTGTGTAATACATATAATATACATAATATATTATATATATGTAAATTATTACTCCTGTTCCAGCAGTCAGGATCCTTACATAAATTGCGTTGTTACCACATGTTAATTGCCTTTGGCTATTTTGGCTGTTCTCTCTGCCTAGATAACAAATCAAAGAAAACTGTAAATATATATTAGATCAGTGATTCTTGAATTTTAGAGCATGTGAGAAGCGCCTGGAAGCCTCGTTGAAGCCGACCGCTGTGCCCTGCTCCCGGACACGCCGACGGAGCCGCTCCGGGATGGAGCTGCAGAATCCGCGGTTCCGGCGGGTCCAGCTTCCCCGCCGCTGGGGACCACTGGGGACCGCTGGGAAGCCTCTGCTTTAGAATCGCAAGTCTCTGCTCCCACCTCGTGGCTAGATTGTGAAATTCAATGACTATGCCTTTTCAGCATGGATCGGTTCATCTCATTCTCGCTAGCGCCCTGCAAAACAAGCGCGCTCCTAATTTTTGTGAATTTTTTTTTCTTTTTTATTGAATGGTAACTATGTACATTAACGCACTTCTGGGATACAGTGTGGTGTTTTCACACACAATCAGAAACACTCCCATCAAACTGGTTAACATAGCCTTCATGTCATTTTCTTAGTTATTATTTTAAAACGTTCACATTCTACTCTTAGAAAGATTCACTTGTACCCTTGTAAGATAAACCTCAGAAGTGATCCTTCCAATCCCCCT